ACAAACGTGGTTGATGTTGAGTGAAACCATGCCATTCCAGCACCTGCTTTTGCTCTACATCACCTCACTGTTGACAGTCACAGTTCCCAACAACCTATTGGCAACAGGAGGACTTATGGTAGCTGAAAGAGACTAGACTCAAGGGTACGGAAACTGGATTCTAGACTAGTCTAAACCTAAATTGCTAGGGCCTTTGCCTCATTCCCAAATGATCTTTCAGGGTCTTGGTTTCCTCATCTGTGAAAGGTGAGAATCAGTTACTGAATAAACTACTTGTAAAGAGCAGATTCTGAGATTCCGAGGCCATCATCAGCTGTGATCCCTTTGGTTCCAACAAGACCCCCAAATACTGGCCCAGGACTGTGCTCTTCCTGTGTTTTGGATGCTACAGCATTTTTCCTGGAGGGTGATGGTGAGTTAGGGGTTATTGCAGGTTTGTTTGCTTATGTCCTTGCTGGTAAAATAAAAAGTTGGCAGCTGTGTTAAATTATTCCTTCACTCCCAAGTCGTTTCAAATTCTTTTTATTTTATGGATCTGTGAAACCCAGAACTGTGACAACCAGACTCTAAGGAGGGGGATGCCTCATATCAGGAAATAAACCCAGCCCCCAGGGGAGCCCTGCTGCCTGTCTCACTGATGGTGAGAGCTGTCGCCTTGAAAGTTCATGGAGCAAGTCCTTGAAAAGCAAGCCTTCAGCAGAATAGAGTCACCCCATTTACCATGGGAGGGCGATTTGAAATCATCTCCCACCTTCTGCTGGGGCTGCTGAAGTTCATCCTGAAATGTCCCCTTTGTGGAAATGGGGATGAAGGGGGGACAGTCTAGGCTTTGTCCAGAACCCCTCTCTACCTCAGAAGCAGTTGTGCAGATGGGGAGAAGCTGATAGCCACTGTCAGTGGCTGGTGTCTCTCTGAGCCTCTGCCAGGCACTCGGTGGGCCGTCTGTGATCCGCCTGCGGTCGCCTGAGCAGGCTTCTGATGGCGCAGATGTAAATCATAGCAGATCATGCTCCTTCCGACAGAGACAGCAACTGAGCATCGCTGACCGGGCAGGACCTCTCATTCGCAATTCCCGAAGAAGGTACAAGAAAGGAGCGGAGAGCTAGTTAATTGCATGGCAGCTATTTTGTTTATAATTATTGTCTGATAAAGTTTCATCCTTTGGAGCTGGATTTGGTCTTAGAAATATCTAAGGAGGCAAGAGACAGATGAGCCAAGAGCTAGGATTGAGCCTGGACTTTTTTTTTTTAAGATTTATTCATTTATGCATATAAGAGCTGGGGTACAGGCCAGAGGTGTGTGTGGGGGGAGGGTGTGAGAGGACTCTCCAAGACAGAATGGGGAACAGAACAGGCAGACTGACCGAAATACACTGCTGAGGGGAGCAGTGGGCAAGTCAGGAGAGGTCTGCTGTGCCATGTGGGTAGCTCCCTGGCTGGGGATCAAACTCATGTTGTAGAGGCTGCGTATAGCTTCAAAGCTTGCATCTTAACCCCTTGCACTACCAGGGAGGCCCAAGCCTAGACTATTGACTAGTAGTGCTCTTAAGTGACTCCGTCTCTGGACTCAGTTTTCTTATCTGTGAAATGGGATTTTGTGATAAGATGGTACAGTGGTAAAATAGATCTAGTCACTTTTGTTTCTCATTTATGCTTCCTATATTTCTTTTGTGTAGATGAGTCAATACATGCTTATGTATTTTTTACACCCTTTTCTTATATGGAGGCTAGAAGTATTGTGTATCCTTTTTGCACTTTATTTTTTTCATCTAAGAGTATATCCCGGAAACCACTTCATATCAGCTCATGAATTTGCAAAGATCTTCCATAATGAGCATTTTAAGCTTTGGTAATCAGAAAAAAATTAGCACCCCAAAAGGATCAATTTTAAAGTTCTATAAAGCAAAAAAATATATAAATAATTAAAAAATTAAGAATATTTAAAAATAAATAAAATTCTACAAACCTAGTGGTGGCGGTCATGATGATGGTGATGATAAATAGCCCAGCATCACCATTAACTGAACAACTACTATATGTCATGTTCTGGAGATGATTTCATTGAGTTCTTCTTAGGGCCCTATCAGATAGGTGATACCTCCAATTGACTGATGAAGAATCTGACTCAACAGTATGTACAAACTTTTCCCCGATGATAAAAAATGAGTCACATTTAAATCCAGGAGACTCTCCCAAGTTTGTCCCTTGTGTCGACTATAGCACGATCATTACAGAAATTCCAAGTTGAAACAGCCATATGGATCTTTTAAACCTAGACACGTCCCAGGCCTTAAAACCCTCTTGGTTATGGATCAACTGCTGCCAAATTTAGCATGTCACTGATGGCAGGAACATGGAGGTAATTTACCGCCTGTTTGTTCCAAAGAGATTGCCCTTCCTTCTTGGGGACCAGTGGGCCCTGCCTTTAAGACAAGAGATGAGAGGGGACCCAGATAGAATTTGCTACCTGGGATGCAGCAATTGATCTGATCTTACACCTCATAATCGCCAGCCAGAGCAGCCAGCACCATTAACGGGAAAGCACATCACCCCACAGGGCTGTTTGGTTAGCAGGATATTCAATCAAGCCCGAGTTATAGCAGTTTCTGTTAAAACTGTTTGTACAGCAGAAGTGGAAGAGGAATTACTTTGAGCAGGAGTCTGGCTTCTGTTGGAGAACTGACAGGCTGTGGCAGGAGGCAATGCAGTTTTGTTGGCTGATGGCACAACTTCTAGAGTTTTGATGCTGGGGACCTCACCCCAACACAGATTTTCTAGTTGTGTGACCATGGGCAGGTCACTTCCCCCTCAAAGCACATCTGTTAAGTGGGGATCAGGAACATACCCATTTTGGGGCCTCCCTGGCGGTGCAGGGGTTAAAGACAGCACTATCAAGCTATCACAAGCTACTGCAGCATGAGTTTGATCCCCTGCTGGCGGGTCAGACCTCTGCTGTCTTGCCTGCTGCTTCCCCTCAGCAGTGTATTTCAGTCAGTCTGCCTGTTCTGCTCCCCACTCTCTCTGGTGAATCCTCTCACCCTCTGCAGTTCTTGTATGCATAAATAAAGTTCTTGTATGCATAAATAAATCTTTAAAATAAAAAAAAGGAAACATACCCATTTTTGTGAGGGGTCCCCACAAAAAAAAAAAAAAACCAACGGTTTCAGTGATTTGATGGGAGAATTCATAGAAACCAACATAGTCAACTCACAGTTGTGATTTATTACAGTGACACGATCCAAAGCCAAAAAAAAACAAGAGAAAAGGGGTGAGTGGAGTGAAGTCACAGTGGAAACCACATTCACACTTCCAAGCATCCGCTTGCCGTAGGGTCACATGGGATGCACCTAATTCCCAGCAACATGTTGTGACAACACATGTGAAATGTTTGCTGCTGAGGAAGCACATCAGTAGTCTCCAGGGTTTTTATGGGGGGCTGGTCACTCAGGCCCCCTCTGCTTCACATGTACCAAAGCTCCAGACTCCCAGAAGAAAAGCAAGTGTTCTGCATAAAGGGTACTGTTTGCATAAATGCTTTAGCACAGTCAGCAACTCTTACGAGAGAAGAGTGGGACCCCTTCCCAAATCCAAGTTCCCAGAACCCCACCCAGCTAGGGGCTGCCTTGCAAGCAGACCCTTCCTAAGGACAACCTGTTATGTTAACAGCTCTGGTGGGTTACACGAGATAATCCATGTAAAACCCTCTTCACGCGGCCCCGTGCAGCAGACACCACTAAATGTAGACTGCCATTACTCTGCCGGTCAGGAGATGAATTCTGAATAGCACCCAGAGAGCAGGCTCCATCCATCATCCACGTGCTTATCTATTCATTTCCTGTGTTCAGCACATTTTGATGGAACCCTGCAGGGGCAGGGCAGTGTTCGGCCTCTTCGGGACTTTGGAAGCAGCGGGGTTAGCCACTGTCTTCCTAGAGGGTGAGGTATGTGAACTTTGGGTCTGGCTGGGTGTTGGAGGTGGGCGGTTGTTTTATCAGGTTTGGGATCTCTAGAGTGCTGACTTCTGAGAAGTGGAAACTTTCACGTATGACTCAAGCCGTGTAACCACAAAATGAATTTATTGGGGGAATCCACCTCACACTAATATAAGCCTATAATTAAATTGTTGGCAGAAAGGGGGGAAGGGAATGAGCCTCCTGGCAGAATGCAGGAGGCTAGAGATGCAAAATGGGAAGATCCCACTCTGCAGAGCCATAGGGATCTGTCCAGCTGCAGGGAGGAAGGGATGCCACTCTCAGGGGGAGAGTCTGTGGCCGGTCTCCCCATCTCTGCAGAAGGCAGGGAGTCCATAAGCATTTCAGATTGCTTCAGCTTTGGTGCCTATATTTATACCACTTTTTCGAGACACCTTATCAGGATCACCCATTACTTTGATGTGGGAGGAGGCCTCTCAGCATAGCCACATCGTTATCTGTCCTCGCCTTTTGCAAGTCTGTTCATGGTCTCTTTTTTGTTTTTTGTTTAATTTTTTAATTTTATATATTTTTTACATCATTTTTCATTTTTGCACAATGTATGCATTTTCATCTTGGTTATAGTCCCCATACAACCCTCCCCCCACCTGTTTTGATCCTACTCCCTCCCCCGACCCCCCGTAGTGTCTCTCTGGTTTACAGTCGCTTGTTGATTTTGATTTTTACTTTATGATAATTAGTCTTTTTCCTGGTCCCTTATATAGGTTTTCTAAATTCTTGCTATGAGTGAGACCATCCGGTATTTTTCTTTTTCTTTCTGGCTTATTTCACTGAGCATGATCCCTTCCAGCTCCATCCATGTTGCATAGTCGCTTCTTAAATAAGTGATTGATAACTGAAGTCTCTATTGCATCGCCCCAACTTTAATACATCACACAGTAAAGGTGGTAAGAGACCTTTGGGGACATCAGGGTAAATGCAAAAGGACCCATTGGCACGCTCAGTGGGATGGACATGTATTGGTTGGAAATGCAACCTGATGTCTTGCTGTTTGTTTTTCCTCTTGCAGCCAAGGCGAAATCGAAATGTGGCCCCACGTTCTTCCCTTGTGCCAGTGGCATCCACTGCATCATTGGCCGCTTCCGGTGTAATGGGTTTGAGGACTGTCCAGATGGCAGCGATGAAGAAAACTGCAGTAAGTGCAGGGTGGGAGGGTGGAGCTCTCGAACTGCCTTCCCTTGTTTGTTCCTACCTATCCATACCAGCCACACTCACTTGTGTGCTTCTTAGACCCTTTGCTCGGGTATTTTCTGTTATTACGCAGTTATATTCTCTTTCTTGGTTACAAGTGCAGATGTACTGGGACTTTGCCAGGTGAGCTGAGCCTGGGGCATACGTTGTGTTTACTTCTGATGCCTTGGCAAGTACAGATGTCTGATCCCTGTTATCAGATAAGGAAGTGGAGGTGTCGAGGGGCAAAGTAACTTATCCTGTGGCATATAGTTCATAAGTAGCAAAAGCTATTTCTAGGTTCCTCTAGATGTCTCTCTGATGGACTAATGCCAGCAGCATCCCATGTTTTTGTACTTGTTTGCTTTCCTTCTTACGTTGCATTCCTTTTAGAAAAAGTGCTTTGTATTAATTATATACAGACTATGAAAGTATATTTTGGGGGGAAAGTCCAAACAATATAGATAAAATAATAGTCCTCCTTGAGTTGTGACCACCCCATTCCTTTTACCCGCTGTATAATATTCCGTGGTATCAGTATACACACTACACACATACACACCTTTGTTCACGACACCACTTAGCAATCTTGGTGTTGAGCTTCACTCTTCTTTGGCCTGGACACACATAGTCCTTTCCTTGCCAGCATTGCTGTGTCCAAAGTCACTTCATACACACACAGCAGCTTCAGTGACCTTCAGGTGTCTCTACCCTGCTTTTCATATTTTCCGTCCCTCCCATCATGTTGCTTTGTACCTGTAAGTGGTCCTTGGATACTGTTTCTTCTTCCATTTCCCTTTAATTTTTTGGACTGCTAGAATCTTTGTAACTATAACTGACTTTGGAAAATCTATACATTTATTTTTTGCACCTACATGTTTTAATTTTGTGCCAGTTCTCATTCCTCTCCCTCCTCTCTTTTGCTCTCCGACCTGATGGTCCACTGTAATATATACATACACTCTCTTTATTGCGACCGATTCTCATGTAAATTTCCCCCCAAAACATCGGTTTCAATTTCTTAGGTGATTGTTTCTATAGATTGATTTCTTTACCCTGTTGTTTCTATTTAAAATCCCCAAAGGGTGAATGACTCTCCCCATATTATTCCTGTCTTTTCAGGGACCAGCCATTGCTGTACTCACCCAGTATGGACATGGGGAGTGTATAACTCTCCAACATGCCTTCTGTTGCCCTACATCATCTTCTGGGTCTCAAGTGGCAGCAGTATGGCATCACCACTAGCTAATTGAGTGGGTAGCAGGGTGGCTGAAATCCTGCCTATGGGCAGGACACATATCACTAATAGTACAGGGGCCTGAGTGGGAGAAATGACTCTAGGCCAGAGAGTTTGGACTCAGATTCGTGTCCCACTCTAATGAAGTGTGAGTCGGGCATGCTACTAAATCTCCTTGTCTTTAAAATGGGGTGCTGACCCTTATGTTTATAGCAGCACTGTTTACAATAGCTAAGCTTTGGAAACAACCCAAATGCCCAAAATTAGATGACTGGATCAAGAAGATGTGGTACATATACACCATGGAATATTACTCAGCATTCAAAAAAGATAAACACATGCAATTTGCAGCAACATGGATGGTGCTGGAAGGGATCATGCTCAGCGAAATAAGCCAGAAAGAAAAAGAAAAATACCGGATGGTCTCACTCATAGCAGGAATCTAGAAAACTGAAATAAGGGACCAGGAAAAAGAATAACTATAAGAAAGAAAATATCAAAATCAACAAACAACTATGAACAAGAGACACTCTATGGGGGGTGGGGAGGGGAGGGATTGGGGTCAAAATAAGGGGATTGTAATTGTATGGGGAATATAAAAATAAAATTTATTTAAAAAAATAAATAAAATGGTATGCTGAGACCCTGCTTCCCAGGGGAGTTGTGAGACTCAGATGACAGAATATCTGAACAGTGCTTCCCAAAGTGGCTGGCATGGAGTCATTTAAAAAATGTAAGTGGCTTAAAACCAAACTGTGAATGACTAAGGGGGAGACTGTGTATACTCTGATTTCTCTTCAGATCATGTAAGGCGAAAGAAGGCTATGTTTACTAAGATTTCATTTTATGGCATTGGATGTCCAAGGATATACTTCTTTTATACTTCATTTAGCCCTTTAGTATGGTATCAGCTTGATCTCAGTTTCCTGCTGTGCACGGGGATGTTGTCATCTCTTGGGGGGTAGTGTGTGTGTATGTACACTGAGATCTGATAACAACTTTAGATCTTTTGTTATTGTCCCACAGGTCCCTGAGACTCTGTTCATTTTTTAATCTGTCTTTTTTCTTTTCCTTGTTCAGATTAGATCATTTATGCTAATGCATTCATACTAGAGGGGAATCAAAAGGCACTAAAAAGCAAGTGTGATGCATTACATTATAAGTGTAATGTATGTACATTCTAAGTATATTCTGGCTTCTATGTTTTCTGATGACAAATTTGTCATCCTACAAAAACCCTGCCATAACTAAAGACCCTGTATGATTTAAATGTTTGGATATTTGTCTTTAATTATCTAAATGAGTAAATTTTACTCATTCCAAAGTAGGTCAACAGGCATAAGCCAGCATTTTCCTCTAGTTTGCCTACCATTTTAAAAGTAGTGCTATTTTGAAAACTGGTAAATAAAAGGAAGGAATCGAACATTTATCCCTGCCCTTTCCTGTAACAATTGTATTTTAAAGTAATTAAATAGCTGACTTAGGGAAGTTCTTTTTTATCGATGAGTACTAGCTAATAGAAGAATGAGAGAATTAGAGTATCTCTATTTTGTAACCCCTAATGAAGAAATGGATCATCAATGGCTGCTAAAACCATTAGATGAAAAATTGATAGGGAGCTTTGTAATGGATGGATGAGGCTGAAAACTCCTGAAACCAGCAGTCAATCTTTTCACAGACAGATTCAAATCAATATTGCACCAACTCAAGTGGAATGTAGAAACCTTATCACTTTGTAGATCTCTTTATGTTAATAGTTGTTTGGGATGGAGCCTCTACATACACTAAAACCCCAAAAGATGATGTTTCAATTTTTGCTTTAAATTTTCAAATAGCTCTTAAAGAATTCCAGAGTAGAATAGTCTCCTGCTATATATTTTGGTTGTTTTCCCTCCATTTCTGCTGTTTCAAGTCTCCTGGTATCATTTCCCTTCTGTCTGAAAAACTTCCTTCAGCAATTTATTTAATGCAAGTCTGCTGGTAACACATTTTCTTATTTTTCCTTCATCTGAGAATGTCTTTATTTCACCTTCATTGCTGAGGGATATTTTTACCACATATAGAATTCTGGGTTGACGGTTCTTTTCTTTAAGTACTTTAAAAATGTTGTGCTACTTCTTTATGGCTTCTGGTTTCCGGTGACAAATTTGCAGTCATTCATACTGTTTCCCCAGGGAGAATGCAACATTTTTCTCTGGCTCCCTTGAAGATTTTTTTTTTTTTGTCTTTAGTTTTCAGCAGATAAATGACAGCGTGTCTATTTCCTTGATTTATCCTGCTTAGGGTTCTGCTTGGATCTGTAGGGTTTTGTAGTCTGCCACACTTAGGGCATTTTCAGGTATTATTTCCTCAAATATTTGTTAAATGTTGCACTCTTTTCCACTCTTAAAGGATTCTGTGACAACTTTAGATCTACTGTTGTCCCACTGGTCCCTGAGACTGTTCAATTTTTAATAGGATTGTTTTTTTCTTTTCACTGTTCAGCTTAGATCACTACTGGTAATCTTTTTTCAAGTTTCCTTTTCTCTGTCATCTCCACTCTGCTCTTGAGCCCTTATACTGTGGTTCTTTTTTGTTTCAGTTAATGTATTATTTTTCAGTTCTAAAATTTTCTTTTGGTTCTTTTTTTTTTGGCTGAAAGTATCTATTTTTGTAGTTGCTTCAAGAATGTGATTGCTTGTAGAGTATTTGTGTAACCGCAATTTTAAAATCGTCACATAAAAACCAACATCTGCCTTATCTTGGCATTGGTGTCTGTTGATTATCTTTTCCCATCTGAGTTGAAATTTTCCTGTTTTTTTTTTTTTTTTAAGGCAAGAGTTTTGGATTATATTCTGGACAGTTTGATTAGTGTGTATGACACTTTGGGTTTTGTTTATTTTTAAAATTTTGTTTTGCAGCGATTAACTGGGGTGCAGGCCAGCAGTGCTGGAGAGAAAAGTGAGAGGATTCACCAGAGACAGAGTGGGGAAAGAACAGGTGGAGTGATTGAAATACACTGCTGAGGGAAGCAGTGGGCGAGACAGGAGTCGTCTGCTGTGCCATGTGAGGGTTAGCTCCCTGGCTGAGGATTGAACTCAGGACATAGCAGTGATAGTGTGATAGTGCTGAGACTTAACCCATAGGCCACCAGAGAGGCCCTGGGTTGTGTTTAAATCCCAATGGAGAGTGTTTGGGCTTTTTTTAGGCAAATGACTCTGTTGGGTCAGCCCACAAGTTTCTCCCAGTCCTCTGTGGACTGTGGTTATAATAGTTTCCAAACTATTTTGGCCGTTGTTGAGTCTGTCTTCCATGTACACCTCCCAGTGGTCATTCTGGGATCCGGACAGTGTCTGTCTGTGAACTGAGTTCACAGCATCTTTGCTGATCTGATGAGGATCAGATCCATGATGCGCAGCTTGGGAATCATCCTAGGAGTTCATAAACAGCTTTATGGATTTGCTTTCCTGAGTTCCTCACTTTCCACCCTCTCTGTGATACTTTCTAGTTTCCTGGGACTCTGGGAAGGAAAATGAAAAAGGCAAACTTACCACCATTTCAGCCATAGTTCGAATGTTGATCTTACCCAGTTGGCCTGCTCCCATTTACTTTTCAGAATCTAAAAATAGCTGTAGCATGTATTCCATCCAGGTTCTTTTTAGCTGCATTCAGTGGGAGAGCCAGTGTGGGCGTGATGACTGCATCCGACCTAGAATTGGAACCTCCCACATGCCAGTTTTAGCATCACA